GGATTCGAGGCTACTACATTGGCGTCTCGTAGTGTGCCTAAATTATGGCTAAGTTCTTTTTTTTTTAGGGAACTATAAATCCTACTTATCTGCGTCACACAGATAACGCCACTTTTATCCTCTCTCTTTGTATGTTTTGAGTGTATGATTTTCTATTTCCCCTCAATTGTCTCAGTCCCTCCGAGTGTGGATGTGAACCTTGTATGTTGACTAAGCTCATTTGGATCCTCTTTTCCCTTTGAGTAGGATTTCCTAGTATCACCTTTTGTGTGCCAATCCCCCTTGTCTGGGAAGAATAATATCGGATCCTTAATCCAGAGTTTTCTCGGGCTCTAGGCCCGAGATGTAATTAACCACAGGGGCTTGCGCCGGTGGGAACCGAAACTCCATCAAATAAACCCCACTCGAGCTGATGTATCAGGTGGGGGAAACCCGTTGTTTTGATTAGGTCGTATATATTACTACTCATCGGAGTGCGCTGGCAATAACTGTTATCCTCAATGGTTAGTCGTATGTGCGATCTAATCTGCCCTTCCATTGGCCCATTTGCGATGAGCGCGGAGGCCTGCGATCGTCTCTATCCCTCGGGGTGGTGCGGTCGTACACCCTCTGCACTCCACAACTCCGGCGGTGTCCTTTCGGAGGTCCACAATTTCTCCTTAAAAATCTATAAAATAAATCAAAATTAAATATTCTTTTTCTCATTGCAAACCACTCTAAGTTATCTCTTTCTCTCACTCTCTCTCTCTCTCTCTAATTTTCACAATTACAAACATATGAATTTAATTTGCCTAAACATTATCAAAATTATATTTTTGTTATTACACTTGCTAAAATTCCTATACCCTAACCAAAATAATTTAAATTAATTTTTATTTTCGGTTTTAACCTAAAATCCTAAATTTGGAAAACCCATTTTCATTATTATTCTTATTTTTTTTTCATGCTTAAACTTCCCATTCAACAAATTAATATTTTTGGAAAACAAATTTTCGGATTTATAAATTTTAAAAATTAAGAAAAATATTATTTTGTGAGAAAAGCCTAATTTATACATTTAGAACCCTCTTAGGACCCTTAGGAACCAAGTTTATAAAAGCACTTTCAAAAATTTCAACTTTAAGGAAAAACCCTAATTTTTCCAACTCAAAATTTCTAAAAAAAAAACTTTGTTTTCATGATTAAAATCATTCCCTATTCTTAACTGTTGAAAAACCCTAAAATTTCTTCCTTAAGAAAACTATGCGGGGAATGGAGAAATGCTTAAATAAATCATACATTAGTCCTTCCCTTAGTCTCCTCTACAATTTCCCTCAAATCCGACCGCCGGAAACCACCGCCGGAGCCGCCGCCCAAGCTTTCCCGTCACTCCTCTTGTTCCACCCCTTTGAGTTTCGGCCGAACGAAACACTCCACACGAATAGGGGTCCCCTTAAAGATGGATCAGTTTGGGTTTAAAATAAAAAGTCTTAATTGCCCTCAAACAATATTAAGAGTCCATAAAGCATAGAAGGGCATTTTTGTCATAATGGTACTTCTAAAATTTTTAACTTCCAAAATAAACGAAATTCACTATAAGTCCTTTATATCGTTTTGCTCGAAATTTTACGTAGAATTTAATAAAATTAATTTCGTTAAAATCCGACGACTTTGAAATTTCACTTAAATTTCGTCGCGTCACTTTGAAAAGCGTGCGATGTCTAAAATTGGTATTTTTCGGGTTTTACATTTTCACAATAAAAAGGATATCAAAATGATAACAAAATTTCCAATAACAGCATGCTCTATCAAACTATCCATTTGAACTTGTCCAAACCTCTCATGGCAACTTGAATCTATCATTGTTAATCTCACACGTGACATGACAATCCACCAGTCCCGTCTTTCATTTGGCCAACTATCTCAGAACATCCACCCAACAACTGAATTAGCCAGTCAACCACTCTCTTATCTATAGTAGAACTTGACGCCAGCCTTGGTCGACCTTACTTACCTAAGCATTGCCCTCATACTCTTTATACATATTTTGTTCCACCATGCACCACTTTATTCAAAGAGTACCTCCATGCACAAATGCCCTATCATATGTATTTTGTGTACATTTTATATCATTTGCACTACAATGATCACATATGATTGCATTTGTAGAAATTCTTACATAATGAGCACGCTAAAAATATCCCATAGCATCAAAGAGATTAATACATATTATACATTTACACATGTAATATATTCATTAATTTATATGATTTCAATATTAATCATCATTAATTGTAAATATAAGACTACTAAATGACATACAATGCACAAATGAATATTTTCATATATATCATGCTTTATCATGTATGCACATCACTATGAAGTGAAGAATTAATGTTTATGTCAATGCTAAAGAATATGAATTTATTTTAAGCATCATATGAAGGGCACATCATGTGAGTTAAGCAGACTACCTTTAATGACATGTGCAAGACGAGATAATTCCTGATATAGTAAATTGGGATATCCAAACCTTATAAAAAAAGTGAAAAAAGAATTCCTGACTACTGATATGAGAGTTAGGACGGTCTAAACCTTTATCTAAAAAATAGACGAGAATTCTTAACTCTTGTTATTGTGAGTTGAAATGGATCAACCCACATAAGGGAAATGATGACAAAAAGAGATCAAAGCCTGTAAGTTTGATATGATATTTTATTATTTTTAAAGTTATGATTATTTAAAATGAGTAAAAAAGTGAAAAAAAAAAGATATGATTATTAAGCATTGATGTTGGCCTCGATCGACCTTAACTACTTGAACATTGCCCTCATACTTTTTATATATATTTTGTTCCTTCATGCACCACCATATGTCCCTTATAGCAAGCTTTGTCATTGTGCGCTTCGATATATCCATAAAAAGGGCATATGCCAGTTAAAATACAACATCCACATCAACATAAAATAAGTTGTTGGGCATTGATTCCTTGTGCCTAAAAACCCAGAGGCATTTGTGCTATCATGCACCTCCTGTATAGGATTCAAACGTGATATATTTTGCACACAGTATAAACTCTCTTGGAAGACCTTCATCTATGCTAAAGCTCGCTCAGGCCTCTTCCTGAACGCCTTTCACCTTCCACAGTTGCCCCCAACTCCACTACTTAGTCCCTTGTTCTTCCTTCATCCCCAACATTCCTTATCATGATAGCAACAAATATGTTTTGCTCCTTTTTCACCACATCCTTATTTCTCGACATCTATCTTAATTCCTATTCGCTTGGTTTGGATGTAGCTTTCTGCTCAATACTAGCCAAATTAGAAAACTCGAACCAAATTAGCTAGCAAGTTTGAATTTTAAATGCATCCAATTGGGCCAATTGCAGTCAAACTACCAGATTTTTTTTCCCTGGATGAAAACTGTATGCTAGCAACTTTCTCTAAACAACTACACTCGTTCGCTTTATACCATCCATAAGAAAACTTGTTGCGGATTTTCTTTCTATGTCATTCATTTATTTTAAAAATAGTTAATTGGCAATTCATATATATTGGGGTATTTCTGAATATTTTTGTTTTGACATTTCCTTAGGATGGTCCTCTATTTGTCTTCCTTGCGTAACTACTTGCTCATCTTTCATTAGATAATATTGTAATTTTCAAGGGGATAAAACATCACTGTTTCTTTAACCAACCGGACTAATTTTTAAATTATGCTCAATAAGGATAAAAAAAATATCTATATTGAAATAGTTTTTTGTTGTTTCACAGAAGAACAACTTTAATTAGATGCCCTTTTATAACTTACTTTCTATTCGAAAACACAAGATTTGATCTTAATGTAGCTATGCTTCACCCACAATTTAACTGGAAACTTGCTAACTCAAGTAACTATGCACATATTCTTCACATGTTCCTACTATTTTAACTATGGTTTAATTTCACTGCTCTTTAACAATTGTGTAAGAAGACATGCTTATTATGACCTATACTACTAAATTTAATGTTCTTTACCATTTTGTTTATTCCTTTCACATACTTATTTAGATTCATTTTATACTATATATTAAAAGCATTAAATGTTAATTTATACGTTCTTGGACAACTGAATATGCTTCTTCAAATTAATGATCTTTCCTATGCATGTTCATGGGTTTTTTTGGTAGTATTCTATTCGTAAGCGTAGATTCTTTCTTTCCTAGCGACGGATAACAAAACAGCACAACATACACATGCAGCAAGGTATAAAGACCCCTAGTGTGGCCCAATTGAACCTCTAGAACAGTAGAGATTGCAATTTGTAACTTAATTTGTGATTCAGATGAATTACTAAATTGAAGGTCTACCAGCAAAAACATGAGCATCATTTTTCCTAATAACTCCCTTTATGTTGAAATGTTCATAACATGTGACACAGATGAATTAGTATTCCTTCAGAAAAATTAATTCTCCAAGCAATATGCATATTATTATAAGAAAAGAGAAGGAAAACATAACAATTTGGAAAAGCCATAGATTAGCCATAAGATAAAACGGAGAAGTACCTAGGATTTGTGGTGAGAAACACTTGGAAATCCAAGTGTTTCCTATCACTTCTTCAAATTAATGATCTTTCCTATGCATGTTCATGGGTTTTTTTGGTAGTATTCTATTCGTAAGCATAGATTCTTTCCTAGCGACGGATAACAAAACAGCACAACATACACATGCAGCAAGGTATAGAGACCCCTAGTGTGGCCCAATTGAACCTGTAGAACAGTAGAGATTGCAATTTGTAACTTAATTTGTGATTCAGATGAATTACTAAATTGAAGGTCTACCAGCAAAAACATGAGCATCATTTTTCCTAATAACTCCCTTTATGTTGAAGTGTCCATAACATGTGACACAGATGAATTAGTATTCCTTCAGAAAAATTAATTCTCCAAGCAATATGCATATTATTATAAGGAAAAGAGAAGGAAAACATAACAATTTGGAAAAGCCATAGATTAGCCATAAGATAAAATGGAGAAATACCTAGGATTTGGATTCCCTTTCACTACTTTTTGGCCATATTTGCGCCAGCGATACCCATCATCCAAGATATCAACTTCACTTACAGTTTGAACAACAACTCGAGGTTCGCGATTATTTTTCGCAATTGAATTAGCATCAATAGTAGCAACTTCCATCTTCCTGCTAAATAGTTTCCAAAAATAAGACTTTAGTGCACATCTACTACCGCGCCTTTTAACATATCAACTAGTAATTCTATTAGTAACAAGGAACCTGCGCTTTGATTCTGGATCATCATCAGCAGCATCATCGCCACCGAGACCAGACTGTCCACCTCCAACTTCAACCTCATCATCACTTACTGATACAGGAGAAAGCTCAGAGTTGCAATTGGGATTGACATGAGACGAATGGCAATGTGCATTTGAAAACTTCTCTGTAGACGAAGGATACATGAAATAGTATTGCAAAGTTTGAACAAATAAGCCATAGAAATTTCCGAGGGAAAATGAAAGCAGAAGACAAAAACATACTACCTTCAAAATTTGCGAAACAAGAAAGTCCATCTTCCTTTTCTTCTTCTTGACCAGTGGAAACGCCACCAACTGCTGATCGGCGGCTAGCTTGAGGCTTAGGATGGTCATGCCGGCCTTTGTAGATGATCTCTGTGATATGTCCATCATGAGAGCGTTCCAATTGCTTTTTCATTTGGCAATTTGGATGTGTGCATTTGTAATAACTCCTTGGAAATTCACTTCCTTTGACATGTTTTTGTCCATATTTTCTCCAGTTATAACCATCTTCACTTGACTTCTCAACTGCATTCAAGGGATTAGAACCATTTTGATCAGACTGTGATGCCTGTATCCTGCAGTCTAGATCCTTTGTCAGTTGTAACTCATTTGAAGCATCTTCACAAAAACCATTGGCTTTGAGAGTAAACACTTCAACAGGAGAGCCTGACGCTGTTGCTGACCAAGTTGATTCCGGTGAAGATTGAGCTATGCACTCAGTTTTAACAACTTGGGAAGATGATGACCCATTAGTGTCACAAAGGCATTGGTTTTTTTCTACAAATTCTTGTTGCTTTGAGTTTAACCCTAGAGAACCCTGCAAGAAATCAAGAGGTGCAACATGCGACCAAAATGAATATAAATTATGCATCATTGGCTAAATAGTTTGATTTCAATTATATATTTATATTTCTCGCTTCATGACTTGGAACAACCACCCAAAGGTCTATAAAAAGTAAAGAAGGATGAAAAAAACTATTAAAATATATAAAATATAGAAATATTATGTCTGCTACCCCTCCTTACCCCAAACATTCTACCTCCGGCACTGCCTTTATTGCACAAAAATCAATTTTTTTAGACCAGCAAACAGAAAGTAAAACGAGAAGCACATAATTGTCCGGCTTGAAAAAAACGCCAGTTGACCAAAAATATAAAAAGTAGTAATTATGGTCTGAACAAGGAAAAAAAATTAGAAATCAATGTCACTTGATGCAATTAGGACATAGAAACCATGTCTTCTGCAGGAAAAAAATGTGAAAAATAAACTATTTAAAAAAGTGCTACAATTTGAAATGAGCAGAAACCTGCATTCTCATTCAAGCAGGCCATGTCAGAAAATGAACTATGGTGTTATATCCTTTTTTAGCAAACAAGTATATGACGTTTTAAATAGCCCCATACTAATGTAAAAATAGCAGAAGGCCACCTTCTAAGTAGTTCTGAGTTGACATTTTATTATTGTTAAACAATAAATAACTATTTTATAATATTATTGCAGCTAATACAAATGAGATCGATAGGAATTACCAAAGGTGCCAAAGAGGATAAGCCTGGACGTGAAGACAACCTGATATGTGGTCTGAACTCAAAATAAGGAGAGCTACCATCTTCAGAAACACAGCCTTTAGAAGAATCCTTTGGAGAACCGAGAGCAGCCAAACCACCATTGTTCAAAATTAAGGGCATAGCAAACGTACCAGTCGTAGGTGAGGGCTCTGCCTGCAAAAAGACATGCATGAAAAAAAATTATAATGAGAAATCACTACAACATTTTTAGAGCCCAAAAGGGAATCCAAAGCAAAGTTCTTAATGAACAAGAAAATTGGCAAGAAGCTCCTAATTAGAAGGCAATGGAAGTAATACATCATCACCGTCATAAGCAATAGCCCTATCCCAATTATTTGGAATTGGCTTTAACAATCTCCCTCTTCCATTCATTCCTCTTGAGTGTTGCATGAAATGTTGAATCTATCTTATGGAAGTCCTTAGGCCAAACTTCCAACAATATTACATGTTCTTTAACTTCTCTCCTTCCTAATCATTTCAATTTAATTCCATAAACTTTTCTTATACTTGAAAAAAGTAACATAGAGGAGAAAGACTTGTAGGAAGTAGGAACATAGATGAGAAAGACAGTTGATTCGTATTCTAATGAGCAAGTGACACTATTTATAAAGATACAAGGACAGGTATGTGTGAGAAAAAAGGGAAAAAAAGTACATATCTATGTAAAGACAATATTATTTTTCTCCTAAAGTAAATCTGTAACAAGGAAACCAGGACGCCTATTGAGCATGCAGTGAATCTTATTTCCTGGACTAGACAGGGCGGCATAGCAGGGAACCAATGTTGGGAAGACTGCAGTATTCAGCCCTAATTTTCGTGATTGGTAGGATTTTATTGATGCCTCCATGTAAAATCCCTGAATAATTTCCTGAATTACTATAGCTGCTTTAAACATTCCCATGATTGTTGTCTGCCTCCACACTACCTTCCAGCTTGGATTCCATTAAACCAGCAGCCATAATTTCTCTCAAATTAGTGCTTGGCGTCTATCCACCATCACCAATGGGACACGAATTTCCACACTAATCGGCAAATCTTCTGCTCTCCAATGGATATACCCACACAACCAAAATCAACTTTCACTTTTGTGTCAGTAACAGGTGTTACTCCAACTATATTTCTAATATTATCATTTCTTGACATTTTATAGTTTTACCACATCATAGCATTTCCTTTTCTACTACACCCAACTATGCTATCAATGACTTCTTTGATAGCATTATGATAGTAAACACATTGGCGAGAAAAGAATGGGGAGTTGGGTCCAAAAGAAGAGAGGGGGAAAAGAGAAGAGAGATAGAGAGATGCATAAGAAGAGAGTAAGGATCCAATATTTCATTCAATAATCATCAATAGTTCCCTTCATGAGATAATCTTATACAAAGTAGGGCATTAATACATAGTAAAAATAATCTGATCAAAGACAAGATTTAATGTGTCCTCATTGCATATTTAACACAAGAAATATAATTAAAACATGCCTAAAAAAATGGACACATGTTTTAAACCGTCAAGGCGTCAACTGAAATTAGGGGTGCAACCGAGTCAAGCAGACTCGGGCTCAACTCATTAACGAGCTCGCGAGCCGAGCTTATCCAACTTCGAGCTCGAGCTTGAGCAAGATTTCAAGCTCATTGGCTTATCGAGCTTGAGTTTTATCCTAAGTATGCTTGGCTCGACTACTCGTTGAGCGGCTAGAACAGTTTGGCGAACCGCCAAACTGAAAAGAAGCTCAGAAGCGCATGCGCATGCGACCGCGAAAGCATGTGAACTGTGGGCGGGTGCGATCGCGGAAGCGGGGTGAAGCTCGGAAGCGAGGGCTTGTGTGACCGCGAAAGCATGTAAATCGCAGGCACATGTGATCACAAAAAAAGGATTCGGTGGAGTGAGACTGTGGAAGACAGGCTGCGTTAATGAACTCTCGAGCCACACGTCGAGCTCGGGATTTGGCTCGCGAGTCGACTCATTTGCTCCCCTAACTGAAATTCATTTAATCATTATTATAAAGCATCATTTCACCTGGGCTGAAAGAAACTCTTATCCAAAGAATAGAAAGGTGGCATCAACAGCGATGGTGGAGGCAGATGAGAGCATGTGTATCATGAATAGCAACAACAATAATAAATTGATAAGATATGAATGGATTTGGAGGCTTTGCATAGGACATCGACATGCATCCTAAATCAAATCAATGATTTAGGGAAGAATCTTATGAAAGTATAGTCATTGAAATAGTAGTCATATGAAATCAATTTATACAAGAAGCAAATAGCAACATGTTGAACTGAGGAGCATCATGCAAAACAATCTCAACAATTTGTGGCGAGTTTGGGAATCTCCATAAATTGTCAGATTATGATCGATCATCTATGTGATAGTTTGGTGGTAGAAGCGACAAATAAAGTCGACTAAGGTAGGTTTAAATATTGCATGGAGAAGAGGGGAGTACGAAAAGTTGAAAAATAACATGCATCTCAATCTATAAAGATTGGGGAACAATAATTATAGCAAAAGATCATAAACTCAAGTGCATCATCAACCCATTAGTCAACAAGGTAAGCTTTAGGTCAAACTCAACCTCATCTAATACATTGATATTTATAAATACATCAGAAAAAATCTTGTTAAGTGCAAAAGATGCATCAATGACATACTCAACTACTAGTATACAACAACATTCTTAAAATAAGTTGCAACTACAAACTCATCATTGGAGAATGGCTTGTTATGCTCGATGTTTTCAATGGTTCGTATCCAATCTTTCAAATGATTTAGATGAATTAATGATTTTGGTGATCTTTGTGCTTGTGCTTTTGGAAACTTGTGTTGTTTAGGATTTCAACCATTGCAATATGATGTACAAGTACCTATTGTTTCATTCAATATACATGATGAAACTGATATGCACAGGGAAAAGATAGAATGGAAAGCTAATGATATCAATGCTAACAAGGTGGATTAATATTCATAATATGCAGTGTATTGATCCTAAGACCATGGTTTATATGATGATCATGCAGATCAATCATCATAATACTCAAGTCAAGGAGATTTAAGTATCATAATATGCATCATGATCTCTATTGTGATGAATAAGAGATCGATCAACAAATTATAAGCATATCTAAAAGATTAAAAATTATATCATAATCCAAACAACAATATGAGGATATCATGAAGATATATAAACTAAGCCTTCATACAAGGTAATATAGTTATGTGAGCAAATAGATCTCTTTAGAGAATATAGTTGGCCTCAAAGATTACCCTAGAAATGATATTATTAGTACAAAGACCATCATGATTTCTTAGTGATGTGAGGAGAGAAATTGTAATACAAAGGAGGTTGATGATATAAATCGAGTGAATTATCATCCCAATCAAAATAATGATATAAGTATAAAGGATTTAGATATGTAATATGGCAACTCTTAGTAAAGAGAAATAATTCTAATTGGCATATTAGAAATATCAAAATCAATCTAGGACATCAAGTAGAGCATTGGAGATGCGGAAAGACCCGAAAGTGAACTTGTTGTGGACTAAATGAAATGAAAAAAAAAATTTTATGAAAATGAATTAATAGAATAATACGATTTACTTGCAACGTTTTTTTCAATAGCAGATGAACGTAAATATAAGAGAGGGCAAAATGGGGCAACACATAAAGGGTAGGAATGTCAACAAGTATTATGTAGTGAGGGTTGTGATGAGAGAGGATAGAGGAAGTAGAGGCATGAGCAACAGTGAAGGTTCAATTGGCTAAGGCGAGTGTGATAACACATGAGAACACCCAAAGGTGCAGTCGAACTAGTGGGCGAGGAGGATCACACATATGAGAGGGGGTCACGATCCAGAAGCTAGTGAGTAATGAGGAATGGCATCATATCTAAATGCGGTAAGCGCAGGGAAGTACGAATATAGGCAAAGGCATGCATAGGGAAAGAACTGTAAATTACAAGTAGCATCATGGATTGCAAGGTGAAGGGATTTTGTGATAAGTATGAACAATAGAGCTTACAAAGGGAATGCAAATATCATGTGCAAAGATGAGTTCCTCAGGACAGTGGGTCACAAATAGTCTACTTGAGCATGGGTATAATGGAAGAACATGGGGCTACTATTGATCAGGAGAGGGTTCCTCATATAAACATCTTTAGAGAAATATATCTCCCACTAGTATTTTACCCATAAAAAACTAGTGGGTATACCACATCAATTGAATTCACACCACCAAAATTCTCATGAAAGGCACTATCATTGATCATCCACTTCAAAGATAAATATCTTCTAAAAGAAAAATAAAATAATCAATAAAAGCTCAACTCACGGCACAAAGAGGAATGGTACAAAAGAATACCAATTTACTAGCTTCATGCATCATTTTTTAGCTTTCTTCGCAAATCTTTGTGTTTTCAAGTAATCCCCTATTAGTGCAACAGACCAACCCAAAGCTTAAAACCAAAATCACACCCCTGAAAAAAGGAATTAGGAAGAAACATCATAGTGGCCCTGGAAAAGAAACCTAAGAAACTTCCACCTCAGCTTCTTCTCAACCATAAAGCCTGAAAAAGTGAACTCCTTAATCTCCCAACTTGCACATCGAGACCGCAAGAATCAATATGACCCGAACTTACAAAAATGCAACTCAGAGAAACACATCGCAGCCAAAATTGGAAACTAGTGGAATGTTCTCAGGTAAAGGGCATAGTCCGAATTCAAGACAATAACAAAAGCAGATACTTTAATAATAGTTGTCATGTCACAAGTATCAGCATAATACTCCTGAAGTCGAATATCTTAATGCGGGCATCCGAATCTAGTTAACGAACACATCTACCGGATTTCCACCAGCTTCTTTTCAATCCGAAGCATAAAATATCAAATCATTACAAATAAATAACAAGGACAAAGGAATAAAGCCAACACTTAATATTTTTTTTCATTAAACATAAAAACAAGTTTTCAGAAAAAAAAAACATGGAAAAGGAAAACATGTGGCTAGAATTATAACTGGTTAAAACGAATTTACGGTAAAATGGCCTATTTCCCATTAAGAAAAGTAAATGAAGGAGAAGCAAGTGGCAAATCGATGTCAAATGACTACATAGATCTAAATCGGCAAGGGTTTATCAAGGGTTTCGGAAAGTTAGAACTACACAACAGAAAAACCGATTAACACCATGAAATCAGTTACTATAAGTCAGATCTAAGACCTTCATGTTCGTGAGCAGAACGGGCGACTCGAGCAGCGCACCGGGGCTGAATCCCGGTGGGATCGTTAGGCATGGCGATCGCGTTATCGGAAGCCGCCCTGGCGACATCATCTTGTACCTCGCTCCAGCGGACGTCGTTGATATCTCCGGCGGGATCGAGCTGGCTACGTGATCTCCCGCGCCGGAGATCGACATCTCCGACATTATTCGATTGGGCAAGAGCAAGATAGAGAGACGAAAGAAGTACAGGTTCAGTGGAGCGGAGGGAAAGGTAAAGATAGGAAGATAGCAGGGGTCGATCCGAAGGTTATTTTGGGTATTTCACATTTTCTTGCAGCGTAATTGGGCCTGCATGTTAAGGACTCTGGAGTGACCTCAGTTGACTTTAGCCGGCATCTTTAATTGGCATAATATCAAAAGACAATAATACCCTATATAGCAGCTGTTATTTAACGATGGGCCCACCACTTTTCCGAACAGGCACAAAGAACTCAGATATCAAATGACGCTTATACCCTTCCCCCTCCGTTCCACGTGATAGAAAAGTTTTCTGAGTGGTTTTTTTTTTTTTAAACAAAATGGTACGACGGAGTTTTCAAGTAACAATACACTAATAAATAATTCCCTATCCTTTTCGTTTATTATACAATTTTAGCCAAAGATCCCCATTATTGTGAATGTGATTCGTTAGGTAATTTTTGTTATTTTTTTTAATTTTATGTGCTAAATAATTTTTTTTATAATTAGATTTATTAAAATGTGGCATCAATGAGAAAGTTGACTTTAGACTATGTTGCGATGACCGATTCTTTCATCATTTTTTTTTAACTCAGGGTCATGATACGTAGCATTTTCATTCATTACTTTTGAAGGTTAGTGATGCTATATGTTTTATAAGTCAGAGTTTAATATAGTGTTTGCACCTTAAACCCTAGGCCGAAAAGCCATTAGACATCCAATTACTTATAGGTGGCTCAAATCATGATTTGAGCTATGTTCAGATAATGATTAGACTAAGATAGTCTGAATATATTTGAAAAAGAATCAATGAAATCCATAATGATTCGATGATGGTTAGAATATGATTTGATCATTGTTCAAGTATTATTAGAATTGCGATGAAAGATGGTTCAATCATGATTTAATTATAGCTCGAAAGTAGTTCAATCAAATTATGAAGATAGTTCGAACATAATTAGATCATGATTCAAAGATGGCTCAATCTTGTTAGAAGATTATTCAAATCATGATTTTATTATAGCTCGAAAGTAGTTCAATCAAAGTGTGAAGATAGTTCAAACATAGTTAGATCATGATTCAAAGAAGGCTCGATCTTGTTAGAAGACTATTCAAATCATGATAAAATAAAGTTCAATCATGGTTCAAGTATGATTCAATCATGGTTTAAAGATGATTCCATCATAGATTGATTATAATTGAATATATTTTAATGATTGGCTTATCTAAATTAGTTTTTTATGTATATAAATATCCGCTCTAATCATACTAGTAGAGGGCATTAAAATTCTCTTGTCATGTACACAATTAGAAGTCTGATGTATAAATTAGTTAGCTCCTTATTCAACTCTTTAAGATTCTTAAAATATAGCTCTCTAAGGCTCTAATTTATCAAATATATAGTACTGATGATGATTAATAAAAGTGTGAATGAGGGATACTCCATTGTATTTATTATAGATGGATTAACACTACATTTGGAGTTTTTAAATTTGCTTTGATCACTATATTGTAGTTTGGAGAATTTTCATTTGAGGAGTTTCAAAATATGAGAAGAATGAGTAGGTTACACTATAACTAGTTGGATGGGGACATAAATTTTAAAAATACAAAGCTAGAGAAATTTTTCATGAAATGTATTAAGAAAGATGAGGTGTGGGAATTTGTGTTGAGTTTCTTATGAAGGGAAAACTAAGTATATATGTTGAGTTAGAAGAATAACATGCAATATACTCATGGGCAGGAACTTTTTTGTTATTGCTTATCAAAAAAGTCTTAAGTAGGACAGAGTACCTTCAATGACCGCTTCTATATATATTTGTATTTGAAGTGAGATATGACGGCCTAAGAAAAATCTATTAATTCCTGCTATAATATATGAAGTAATTATTTATTTACTTCAGTGTAAAGTCCAATTAATTTATAATATATGTTAGCCTTACTCTGATTAGTACAATAACATGCTAATAATTGCTTTTAAATTCATTATATGCACTATGAGTTACTTATTAAAAATTTTGATATGTATGTTTGATCAACTGAGTTGTGTTGACTAACACATATTATGTATTTTGTTTCATGTCAGGGCAAGCGGAAAGAGTCAGTTGAGTAGCTGATATTGTAGATTTTTATCCGTTCAAGTTTGTGTGTGTGTGTGTGTATTATTATTTATTTATTTATTTTTGTACAGTCATTGGCTCTTCGATGTTTTGTGTTACTTTGGCTCTGTAGTCATATATTATAGTATATATATACATTTTGAGGATGAATAAAATAAAAAAGAAATTTATGTATGAATTAATTTTCTAAGCATTGGATATTCAGCAGTAACTCTTTAGTCTATTTTAAATTAAAGAAATTATAAAAAATATCCAAAACTTAGATCTTGAACTTTATTTGCCACCATTTAATATGATATGACATTTTTATTTGTGAGACATATTAAGTTGGATTGTGACAATACAAGTTTTACCCACAAAATACTAAGTTTATCATACATGTAAAAGTTCATATATTCATGTATCATGTTGAATATTGCTTTTATATGTTGTAAGTGTTAATATTATTATTTATATATGCTAACAAATGTTGATGTTGTTAGTTGTACGCATTGAAATGTTGATGTTATGTATTGCTAATACATATTGAAAATGCTTATATTTATATGTTGTTGTTACTATTTATATATGTCTGAAATGTTGATGTTATATGTTAAAGTACATGTTGAAAATGTTAGTGCTTTTATGTAATTTATATGCTTGAAATGTGTGGAGAAAGAAATGAATGTTAGAAACAAGTGGAGCTATAAGGGGTTATGCACTTATGTATATGTATATATATTCATGTATTCATCCATCTGTGTGTATAATACACATGGACATATGTTAGATCATAAGTGGAGGTATTAGTATAAGTGAAGTTATAAGGAGCTTCAAGAACATGTATATAAGTAGAGGTGTAAGTGGAAGTAGACTTCTACGATAGATCCATGCATCATTTATTCTTTCAACCCAGTTAATGAGGTGTACTTGTCCCCCTTAGGTTTTCTATGTCAAAATTGTTTAACAACTCCATAGAGAAAGAGGTAGGAATGAGTAGTGGAAGCATAGCATGGTTCCACCACTTGAATACTCTCAATATATGGTTAGATAACATTGTGAGAAATCTATTACTTTATTCAAAGTATGGTTCTAAGATTTGAATGATATTTATATAACTTGAATTTTTATTTTTGTTAAATATTGATTATTTATGTTTTTAAATAAGTGAGTGATCCCAACACTAATTAAGGACTTCTAAAATTGGTATTCACATAGTGGATGAATTATTTAATTAGCACCACAAATCAACATATCAACTATCTCCGCTTATAATAAGGTCAAGAGAAACATGCTCATCAAGTGGATTGATAGACCATCATGGAGATGCTTGGAGAGTAGGAGAAGTTCCTAACGTCATGGGTTGTTGCATAACAAAGCTCAATGTATAAACTTTGAGATATCACTTCCTTTTAAGTCTATGACATTATATGACATTGAGCCCTCTTGCATCTCAACGCAAACCTTTGCGGACAACATTAAGCTTAGTATGCAAGTGCTTATTAACTTATATAAGTTGCTTGAGATGTCATGGGTTATGTGACAATATATGAGCTTCGAATCTCCTCGAAAGTGGAGGGCCACCACATACAAGGTCCCCATGTATATAGTAATATCATCAAAACTGAAAAGAAAAAGAAAATGAATGATCGATCAGATGAATCCTTTCACTACACGGATCTTGGGTCGTTATATATATAATCTAATAATTATTTAATGTCTTATTGTAGCAGTGAATGTGGATTATATGTAATACAATGCATCATTTATCTTATTTCAAAGAAAAATTTTATGGAAGTTACACATAATGGCATTTAATTTTACAAGGATCATTTATGTGTAGATTTAATTCAAAGTAATATAGATCCATTGATCCATTTATTATTCTATTATAAATATTAATTTTGTATGTACATTTGTTCTTTTATTAATCAAATTTATGTATGTGTACATTACTTCTAAAATTATAGATGTTGTACTATTGTCTTCAATCGCACTCAATGTTATGCATATTGTGTTATATATCTCTTAAAATTAACAATGTTGTATTTTGATTGTTGAGTTGTCCATATTATAATATGTAGTGTTATAGTTATTGTGATGCACATATATCATTATTCATTTTCAAACCATATTCAAACTTTATTTGACCCCATGTTAAACGTGTTCAAACCTATGTAGAATCATGTTGGAACTTATATCAATCCATGTTCAAACCTTTAAAATAATGTTCAACTCATATTTGTATCGTACTAGAACTTTATTGGAACATGATTTGAATATGATTTGGACATGGTTCAAATATTATGGATCGGGTAAGATTAAAACATGGATCAACATAAAATTTGAACATTATTCAAATTTTATTCGAATTAGAGTATCATTTAAACCTTTGTTCACTTTTGATTTGAATTTTATTCGAATCTCATTTGAACTAGGTTCATATAAGGCTTGAATATAATTTCAATAATTAATTTGAACTATTCAAATCATAAATTTGAATGAGTCTCTCTTTACCTCACAAATCACATTGGTCCTCAGAAGCCTCAAATGAACTCCCATCGTTGGGGCCCCTGTGAGCTTCAATCACAAAATTCTCTTCTCCTCACACATATCATTGGCCCCCATTGATGAGCCCAATGCAATCTAATTGTGAAAACCCTTCTCATACATTGTGGTCACCTTCTCCTTCCATGATGTAGTTACTTGAAATGCATGGGTTCAAACTATGTTTGAATTTAAACCAATGTGAACAAATTTGTCTCAAAGAAGGGCGTCAAAATCATTTTGCAATATAAAAATGTGATATTTTAGTCAAAAACAAGCTTTTGGTCATATTTCTCCAATAAAGCAAGGATGATGAATTATTCTCTAAGATTAGGCATTGTGGGACATATAAAACAAAATTTCTCATTCTCTTAACCACAGTTATAGTACTACATTTTGAGGAAGATAAAACTTTTGCGATAA